CAAGTTCTTTTGAATACAAGTCCACAAGTCCTCTGCTCAATTTGTTATCACTTATTAAGTTTAAATTTTGTTCAAGTTTATTCAAAGCAAGTCTAAGTGCGGTCGTACGTTTACCCGAAATTTTGGTAGCCTCCCGACGTTTCTCCCGTTTAAGGGAAAACTACGGCAAACTGGGTCTTTCCCACCACGCTAAGAAAAGCGTGTCTGGTAGGTGTCCATGGACGAGGACACTGCGGCCATATTTTTTTGATCCCCCACCACGCTAAGAAAAGCATGTATGGGTCTTCGGTACTTATGGCAAAGGAAAAGCAGTTGTTTACCCGCAAGCGGGTACTTATGGGTATCCCCACTTCGTCGTACGCATCGTACCGGGTTCCAATCCCACCACGCTAAGAAAAGCGTGTATAGGCATTTTTTCGGTGCGCTACGAACTCCAAAGAAGGAATCTTAGGTGATTACCCGCTTCATCGCAAGCATCGCGACGCACTTCCTCCCACCACGCTAAGAAAAGCGTGTATAGATGATCGTTTTGTCGCGGTGCATGATTCGAAATCAGGCTTTCAGATAACAATAACTATAAATATTGATACATTAACATTTAAACAAATAATAAAAATAAAAATAAAAATCTACCTAAAGGGGTCGGCTATATGTGCTGTGGAATGCGGCTTGAAGAAGAGGAAAGAGAGATTAACAATGGGAGCTGAGGTTCGGTGCTTGAGGTTTCGGCTAGATGGAAGAATGCAGGTAGGTTTTCTCACTCACTCCCTCTCTCTCTCTCTCTCTCTCTCTCTCTCTCTCTCTCTCTCTCTGTGGACGAATGAAGCGGAAGATGGAGAGGGATTTCGGTCTGGAGCATGAGATATGGACGAATGAAGGAGCTAGGGTATATAAGAAATAGATGTTTGCGAAGGAGAAGAATGGGGCTCAGCAGAGGAGAGGGAGTCGGACGTGAAATCCGCTGGATTTGGTCGAACAGGAAATAGGTAGGTATCGGGATGGAGTTCGGGTTTAGAGGATCCAGAGGATCGGGATGTCCGATCAACTGTATCCTGCAATTCTTCTGCAAGAAGTCGAGCAGAGGTGTAGAAGAATCGATTGGGAGGAGCTTGAGTAGCTCGTGTATGGAAACTAAAGCTTCAGGGCTTCTGGCAGCTTTTAAAGGCGTCAAAAATCAGTGATCGGGGCCAAATTTGCGAGATTTGCAGGAAGAGACCGACTCGGCGCCGATTTCAGCGATATTTCGGCAAGATTCTTGGATCCAACGGACATGAGGTATGTACGTTAGATTTTGGTTTCTTCCCTCATTCGTGTGATTTCTACAGAGGTTAACACTATCAACACTATCACCTCTCTATCAGCAATCTCTCCCTTCACTTTCATAGTGTGACTCGAACTAAATCCCACCACTGAATTCAGGGAGACTTCTGTCACATCCAGATACTACTTCTCCTCTTCCTCCTCTAACCCACTCTCACCTCCCTCTTCAGCTTCCTCGTCATCACAAACGGTGAGAACCTGAAGAGTTTGGTCATTACACATATGCCCTAGCATGTACTTCTCATCACATCTAAAACACAACTCATTTGTCCTCTTCTCCTATATCTCCTTCTTAGTCAGCTATTTGAAATTTCTCTCATTTCCCCCTCCTCCAGCTCTCTCCTTGGGCACTTCCTTGAGACTACCTGGCACTGACCCTTTGGGAGCTAAGAAGGTGGTCGTCATCCTATACGATCCCCCCAAGTTTCTCCCCCTAGCCCCCCTCTCCAGCTGCTTCTGGTCCTCCACCAACTGGGTTAGCTCCATGGTCTCCCCCAGGTCTCTTGGCCTCATCACCCTAACTACTGTCTGTATCTCTGGTTTAAGCCTCTTCATAAAATTCCCCTCTAGCACTGTCTAAGACGACCGATCTAATCTGCTGGCCAAGTACTCAAACCTATCACAGTATTCTATTAATCTCCTCCTGTGTCAAGACAATGAATTGCTCATAAAAGTCTCTTCCCCTACCGGTTCAGAAAACGTTCTAGTAAGCACTCTTTGAACTCCCTCCAGATCCGGATAGGTTGTCTCATGTCACGCTATTGGTAACATTTCAGTGCCTTCCCCTCCAAACACAGTCCTGCCACCGTCAACTTCTCTTTCTTCGTCAACCCGTTGACGGCAAAATATTGTTCCACCTTGTAGATCCAATCATGGCCATCCTCACCCTCAAAGATGAGCATCTTCAACTTCCTCACCTTTGGGTCACTACCGTTGCCCCTGAATCCTCCATAACCTCCCATTCCGAGAAGAGGTGCTCCCTAGTTGTCACGATCTTCCCTCTGGCGATCATACCCAACCCCTTCATCAAATTCCCCTCATCTTATTTCAAATTCAGCACCACTGCAGTAAAAAACCTCCCTTCTCCCTACAAAATCAACAACCTTCTTTTGAAACAAGTGCTCATATCCTCCTAGAAAGTGTTTCTGGAGGAGGCATTCTATCTTCACCCTCAAAGATATCTACTTCCAAATTTTCCCTTCCCCTAAACATGTTAGAGTTTCCACCTCTTACATGGCCGCCGATGGTTACCCTTGCTTTCGATGTCGTTTGATTGGTCTTCACTTCTAGCAATTTCTTCAATATCTCTTCCATCACAGCGAACTTCCCTTCCATCCTTTCATTATTAGATGAAATCTGATTTAAAAATCAAAAATTTTTTCCTCCAAATCTGATTTAAGTTGCCCAATTTCTCCTTCTAAAGCTTTAACCGTCTTACTGGCCATATTTCCTACCGAGAATCACGAGAAGATCTTCTGGATGAAATTTCACCACTGAAATTTCATAATTTTAGCCGCCGATGGTCACAAGACAATGCTCTAATACCAATTTGATAGAAAATACCAGAGTTTGCAAGTAACCCTTAAGGGAAATACTTGAGTTCGCAAGAAAACCTATCAATAATTGGTGAAAACAGCAAGAAATATGCTGATTTTAGAGAGAAATCAGCAAAACGATGCAAGAATGTTAGAAGATTGGAGAGAAAACACAAGAAAAACTTCTTCCATTCAATCCACGAACAAGAAAAATAATACAAGATACAAGTTCTTCAATTCGAGAGGAAGACACAACTCTTCAGTTCTATAGCAAAGCCTAAAGCCCAAAAGAACAAATCCTAGATCTCAAATCTCTCCTCAATTCAAGATAATCCCCAAACCCTAACAAGAAAGACTAAGTAAAAGCAAAAGAAAAATTACGTAATCCCTAAACAGCCCCTCATTCAAATTTTCCCTCCCAAAGCATTGTTAATTTAAGCCATGGGCCCCACCAAAGCTACCGCCCCCCTTCATGCCTGTCTCCCACCCACCCCCAGCTTCTCTTCTTTTCTTTTTTCTTGGACCGGCGGGAGTAAACCAAAACTGGTCCAGGTTGGATCGGTTCAGGTCTAACATAGGTCTCACCACCATCTTATAGAATTTTATCTTAAATGAAGGGTACTTTTATATCAAGCATCAGACCCGATGCATTCCTCCACTTCAACCATCCAACTTGAATTCTACTAATAATATTCCCATCTATTTCACCATCATCCTAGACAATAGACCCTGGATATCAAAAACATGTACTCTTATTAATGACTTGATCGCTCAAAATCACAATCCCCCTACTAGATCTATTACTACCAAAATTACACTCCATGTACTTTATTTTAGATCTACTCAAATAAAAACCTTTAAACTCTACAATTGACTTCCATAATTCAAGTTTCCCTAGTCTTATCAATAAGAAGAATATCACCAGCAAAAAACATATACCAGGGTACATCCTCTTGAAAATGTCTAGTAATAATATCCATAACTAAAGAAAAATGATATGGGCTTGAAGTTGATCCTTGATGAAATCCAACTAAAATAAGAAAATACTTAGTCAAACAACCTTGTGTTTGAATACAAGTAATAGTTCTCACATACATATCCTTAATGACTTGACTATAACCATTATTACCCCTTTCTTTTCTAAAACACTCCATAGCACTTATCTTAAAACTTTATCATAAGCTTTCTCTAAATCAATAAATATCACATGTAGATTCTCTATACTCTTTATACTTCTCCATCATAGCAAAAAGCATACACTAGGGTACATCAATAATGTATAGCTTCCAGAGTAGACCTACCCAGCATGAATCCAAATTGATTTTGAGAAACATTACTAAAACATCGTAACCTATGCTCGATAACTCGCCCGTTGTTTTAAAGTATGATAGATTAATTTAATTCCTCTATAATTCGTACTATACACTCTTGTGCATCTTGATTATTTTTAAAAATTGAAATCAACACACTCCTTTTCCACTCATCTGACATACATCAAGTGTTCAAAATAATATCGAAAATTTTCATAAGACAAAAAAATCCTTCTCCTAAGCATTTTCATACCTCTATTGAAATATCATCAAGTCCAACCGTTTTTCGCACTCCATTTTCTTTAAAGCCTCTCTAATATATGTTATACGTAAACACCAAATTTTTTTAAATCATGCAAACCTGCAATATATTGAATCAATCATTCTAGGACTTCTTCAGAATCTTATATTTTCGTTCACATCAGACCTATCCGTGAAATTGAAAGTTATTGATTGCATTAACTTGTGACAGGGTGTTACAACAGCTGGCAAACATAACTCATTACATATAATTCATTGTAATTTTCGTGATATTGTAAAAGTGGTCAAGCCAAACATATACAAAATAAAATTATGCCAACTCATTGGGGTTTAGACACCAACTCCAAGATCCAAAGGTTCTCTTAAAAAAAATAAGTATAGTAAAAGGTGAAATAGTGAAGTTTGAGGAAAATAATCACAGCTGTTTACAAAAAAAATCATTCATGATTATCATGCAAAAGACATCATTGGCATAAACTTTTCAGCAAATTCCTTGCAAATATTTCACATCAATACATTTTATAACTCAATGAACATGAATCTTTCATAGAATTAAAATTATAAGTTGCATTACCTTGTACTCCAAATGACCCAAAAAGGGAAGTAAATGAGTCGAAGTGCAACCCATGAGGCAACAAATAGAATAAATGAGATTGATGCAAGCCACTCACAACCACTGTACTTCGACATCTTTCCTATTTCCATAAATACATCACTTGCATCATGAATAGCTAGAACAACAGAACCAACTCGAGCAAATCTGTTTAAATTGTATCATTAAAATAAGAAATGTAAGCTAAAAGAAATCAGAAAATTTATATTTGCAAAAAATGCGATATATTTGGCTAGTTTATTAAAACCGTAAGCATTATTCCATAAATTATTAATGCATCCATGCCTTTGAATATAACAGTTGTTCATTCTCCCTATAAAAATGATAGATGATAGAAAGTATTAGCAAGTCAAGAGTAACAGAATGCTTCTCTTCATTGCAACAATTAACAATTACAATGAAAAAGTATCCCTTGAGACTCAAATTCAATAAATTTACATAAATTTGAAAATTTTTAAATATTCCAATTCATCATTCTTTCAACAGTTCTTTGGCAGTTGTTTCATATAAGCCATGCAACTTAAACATAAAGCTATTCATTGGTGAAAGAGCTGCATCTTATGAGTTTTAACATAAAGCTTAGTAGCACTTAACCGGCAGCTACAAAGGTTACATGTTTTTCTTATTTATTAGCCTATCAATGATGATGAGTAGATATCAATGCAAGTCTTCTGAACACGAAAAAGATCTGCAGGAGTTATTACACCAGAAAAACAAAGCGAACTGGCCCTACAATCCTCCACTGTTCTTGGCTATTTTTGTTTCTTATGATAAAAGCATCCAAAGAAAAAGGCATTGGAAAGATTTCATAAGTCAAAAATTGACCTCGAAGACTGACCTAAAAAGTATTGGCTTGACAAGCAAAGTATTGGCTTGAAAAGAAAAAAAAAAAAAAAAAACTCAAATGATCTACTCACGAAAGGGGGTGTGCACAAATAATACCTAACTATCTGCAACGAGTTGGGTTTCCAACAAGCAGCTTGGGCCAGTCCTAGTTGGCCATAATTACATGTTTCCTCCCTTCATTGCACTTTCTCATCCTCCCTAACTCATTTCACTAAATTGTTGCCATCACTTTCAAAATTCTGTGCTGTCACACGCGCATGTTATACTTACCATAACTATCAACCTAAGATGCCCATTACAACAAGAATTAAGATCTCTTGCAGATGGTTTTCATTCAATCAATGGCATGCCTAGATCTTGTCATTTAAAAATCGTCTCAAAAAAACAAAAACAAAAAAAAAAAACAAAAGCTTTTCTTTATCATTAACTCCATCCCAAACCCGCCCTTCTTATTCCTCTAATCTTCAAAGTCATTAGAACTAAAATTATTCAAATTTCCTTGCCTACTTTGTTTTGAGTTTGAGGCTTTAAATTTCTTAGATTTGTTTTTACTTCTTGATTGAGATGGCTTTTCTATTCCACCTGTAGAATGCTATTTAATAGGAAAAATATGAGCTCAAATCTAAATCACAATAACAATCATTATAACCATCTTATCTCATGATAAATCTTTCATATGAAGACTTCCAAATTGTTCTAGCCAACCAACAACCGACTCAATATTTTATCAAGTCAAGCACAAATGGACTATTAGAAACTGAGTTTGGTCCCAATAAGGCCAATTCACGTCACACCATGGATCAACATCCTTCACAACAACGGAAGGAAAAGGGATGGAAAAAGGGGATTGAATTGTAATTTTTTGCACTAAGAATTTCTTTCAGAAAATTTTATCAAATCAATCACACAGTAAGTGCTGACAGAAATAAATGGATATAATGCCTAAAACTAATCTAATTTTGTGTAGAAACTAAACTATATAATACATGTAAACCAAAGCTATCACCACACAATATTATATAAGATTTAGTATAAATGATTTAAACACGTGTGTAAGCTTATGTCAATTGAGCACAAATACAATTATGTCTCCACAAGCCTAAGAAAATATTCTACAAATACAAAAGCTGCCAAAATTGTAGATCCCATGAACTTATCGTGAATACTCAATTTTGATGACAACAAATATAATATGATAATTGGTCATACAGTTATTTGAGTATTGTGCAAACAGAATAAAAAGCCAAAAAAAAAACCAGTGTACGTGCATATGAAAATAGTTGTTAAGAATAAAAATTTCTTGTTCTTCGTATGTAGAGTATGACCACGAAATCAAAACAAGCTAGCAAGTAGAGGTAAATATGTGGAAAATATTTTCTTAATAATTTTAATCCCTATATTTTAATATATAAATATATAATGCAAACTATGATATACTTTTTTTCAATTGATCCTAAAACTCGTTTTTAAATGATAAATAAATTTAGTTTGAAAAATCACTGAAAGAGAACTTATCAAAAGACTTGTCATGGTTTACAATTTTTCACAAATTTAATGGGAAGATGAAGAACATCGCTCCATAAATAGATAGTATTTTCAGAACTTAATAAAATTAATTTAACAGGTTACCAAAAACCACTTTAAGGTACTTTTTTAGGTTTTCCAAGTATCCATTAAGCTGCAGCATGCATTTATAAACAGATTCATATTTCAAATATAAATGTTTTTGGTTTAAGTAATTTTCTTTAAATCTTTATATTGTTATTATATTTTTAAATTACAAATTTTAATTTCATTTTCAAATACAAACTTATTCATTATGTATATAACAAGCCATTAGAATTAAAAACCCTAGCTCTCATATTACAAAATTAAGCCACAGGAAAAATTATGAGAAATTATCATCGTGTGAGATACTTTTACTATTTTTAATTAAACTTTTGTATACTGCGGTGGTACTTATTTTTTGAAAATGGCTAAAAGATGATTCCCTTGCCCACAACAGTGAGGATATAATTCCCCTTAAACAAAGTATTGTAATGATTTATCGGCCCTCGTGAGGCAAATGAAAGATAGTTTAATAATAGAACTTCTAGGCTGCATTGGGCACCTAGGCGTTAATGTAGGCTTTTTTTAGTCAAATCACATAAAAATCTTGATGCCTCATGACTTTAATTTTCAGCGTATTGCTAATTGCTCTAGCATGATTATATTAGATCTTATTCTCGAAAATATTTGCCCTAAATTTATTGATATTTTGAAATAAGTATTTAGTTAACAATTTTATGTTACCTAGTTCAAACTCGCTTTCTTTTCTTAGATCACATACAAGCTATAAAAACTAGATACACCTAAATGATATCGAAATATATGAAGATCACCCCCCCAAAAAAAAAAACTACAGTAATTATTCTATAAATCACCAAAATTATATATAAAACTTTAATAAGATAAATAAATTGAATCCAATAACAAGAAAAGGCTATAGAGTACTAAGTGTCACAAAATTTGACACAATGGCACATATTGATCAATATATATTGCTTACTACAGATTTAAATTATTTTCAAATTTTGTCCAAAAACTTAATTTAAATTTAATCTACGAACATTATAAAAAAAAATGAAAACTATGTGAAAAGCTAATTGTTAAATGAGTAAATTGATGATGAAATCAAGGTTTAAGGTTTCCTCTCAACAACCAACTTATATGAGTAAACCAACTTCCCCATGATGAATGTGTTCACCTATGATTTCTATCAACATGTTTCTGCCAACAATTAGTAGATCTAAATCGACTAACTGATGCATGATATTGCTATGTGGATTAAGTTAGAACATTATTAATAAAACTTATCACTAATGGTTGCTAATGAAATATGAGTATATTTCTATCACAGTTGAACACAAATAAATCTTTCAAAATTATTTTAGTTTATGAAATCAAATTGATCAAGCATTAAGCACAAATAAACTAAAAAATCCAGAGAAAATAAATCATGGGAAAAAAGAATATTAATATATTCTGTAGAGATTCCACCTATGATGCACCGACACTCCGCTTAAAGAGGGTATGCAGTGTCACACGCGTCGGACACGGCATGGACACGTGTCAGACACGGCATTGGAGTGCGCAATTTAAAAAATTAAAATTAAAATCGGACATGCATGTCGGACACGCGTGTCCGGTTATTAAATGAGGTATCGCTAGGTATATGCTCGGTACCGCTCAATACATGCTCGGTACCGCTCAGTACATACTCGGGTACCGCTCATTACATGCTCGGTACTGCTCAGTAAATGCTCGGTACCGCTCAGTACATGCTCGGCACTGCTAGGTACATGCTCGATACTGCTAGGTCGAACCCAACTAGGTAGAACCCCCTTGGACCCCCGGCAGACTGGTATATTGTTGTATTCAAGTTGTCTTATTATTGGGATATTTTGATTTCAATTCATATCAATTTAATTTGATGTATTCATATATATGATTGGTTTGTTAGCAGAATGAGCTCTGCTGCTGGCGGGAGTGGATTAGGTGAAGGTTCAAAAGAACCATCTGTAGAAACTGATAAGCCGTTATGAATTCATGTTACAAAGTTAGGAAAAACATTTGAAGGAGGAGGGAATGTGTCATTCAAATGCAATTATTATGGTGACACCTACAAAGGATTTTATTCTAGGATGAAAGCACTTCTACTTAAAATTTCTGGCCATGGAATAAAAATGAGTTCTAAGATTACTACATCGCAGTTGATTGCTTGTCATTTTTACTATAATGTCACCTTAATTTTTATATATTATATTAAAAAATTATTATGCCATGTCCACGCCGCACCCATGTCCTATATTTTTAAAAATTACCGTGTCCCGTGTCCGTGTCGTGTCATGTCCGTGTCGCCGTGTCCGTGCATCATAGGATTCCACCATATGCCCCAAAAAGAGAATTAGGTCATGACAAACAAGCTTCATGATATTTTCTAATAGTAGAAAAACCACAATAATGCAACATTAATTTTATGTCCAGTGTCAGCACCATCTTTTAATCTCTTCAATTCTCCAGAATTTCTCCTCTTAGAAAAGCAGCCAAAAATAGTGTCCCCAAACGATAAATATCATTATTTTTATAATCTTTCCAATCCTCAACCCAAACAGATTAGAAATTCCTGAATTTCAACTATTTGAATTTGAGATCATGCAATAGGGCACCAAGGCACTGAGTAGCCCCTACGCCCTGTCATCTGTGTTCCCAATTGCAAAAATTTAGCAATCTTGTAACTAGGTGTTAGAATTGGCTCTTGA